TCTATTTTATCTTATCTATAGTTGGTTGTATTATTTTTTTTTTTTTTTTTTTTTAAAGTATGAGCCTTAAAGGCACTCCTTAAATTAATGTAAATATTGAGCACTAGGACTTGACTTCAGGCTTTTGGGAAATTTTTCTATTTTATCTTATCTATAGTTGGTTGTATTATGATTTATTTGCTGTGTTATTCATATATGTGCTTAAATTGCTGTAGGAATGCCAGAATTTGAGAAATGTTGCTTGCGTGGACAACTAGAATCATTGGCTTTTTGGCAGATTGTATAATTAAATGTAATATTAGAGAAGCAGTTTTAGTCTTGTGAAATTCTCAGTGGATTTTCTTCTTCTTTCTTCAGCCTTATGTTTGATCATCGGCCAAGATCCTGGAGAGAGTTGCCTCTCCGGATAGCCGATTTTGGGGTACTTCATAGGAATGAGCTGTCAGGAGCACTCACAGGACTCACTCGAGTGCGAAGATTCCAGCAAGATGATGCTCACATATTCTGTGCCATGGAGCAGGTACGAGACCCTTTGCAATAAAATGCTTTGAAAGCAGTGCCAAGAGAGTCCAGGAAAATAACCACTGTGCCCTCTTTTTATTTAAAGATTGAGGCTGAAATAAAAGGTTGTTTGGATTTTCTACATACCGTGTATAGTGTATTTGGATTTACTTTTAAACTGAACCTTTCTACTCGCCCAGAAAAATTCCTTGGAGATATTGAAGTATGGAATCAAGCTGAGAAGGTAAGTGGTGTTTTTCAATTTGTTTGAATACCATTAGACTGAAATTGACTTGTTCTGTGTTGTAAGAAAGCCAAGCCTTTTTACATGGATAAAAGCAGAAGAAAATTAGAAGTGGTTCCTAGATTTGAGTAAGCTAATTTTTTTCCGTGATAATATATCTTGAAATGGTTGAAAGTTTTTTCAGTTATTAAACCATAAGCTTTAAAAGGGATTTGTGTGAGAGTATATGTAAGTGGGCAGAATTACAAAGCCGAGAATAGTGATCCATCAAAGTTGTTATATTTTTAATCGCACATCAGGCTGGAAGAAGGGATGTTGCAGATGAACAAAAATAAATATCATTTTGCTTTGTCCTCAGCAACTGGAAAATAGCCTGAATGAATTTGGTGAAAAGTGGGAGTTAAACCCTGGAGATGGAGCTTTCTATGGTCCAAAGGTTGGTACCAAAATATACTAGGGTAGACCTTTGGGCTGATTTGTGATTTTCATTTTTTGGTAAAGAAGAGATTACTTTAAAGTCCATTTTAAAAAAAAAGGAAAAGGAAAATTGGCCCTAATTTAACTGTTGAGTTCAGCTTTAATATCGATGACATAACAACCTGATCTTTGTTTCTTAGATCGACATACAGATTAAAGATGCAATTGGTCGATACCACCAGTGTGCAACGATCCAGCTGGATTTTCAGTTGCCCATCAGATTTAATCTTACTTTTGTAAGGTAAGTTTCTGAGTCTGCTCTGAGTGTTTTTCTCCAGTGACATATGGGAAAAATACTTAATAAAGCAAAGCAAATTCTTTGTTTTTCTTCATAGCCATGATGGTGATGATAAGAAAAGACCAGTGATTGTTCATCGAGCCATCTTGGGGTCAGTGGAAAGAATGATTGCTATTCTCACTGAAAACTATGGAGGCAAATGGTAATCTTGGTCTTTGTTTTCTTTTGTTTTTGTCTGGATAATGTTAATTGGTTAGAAGAAACGTCTGCTTTCCGATTTAGTTATCTGGTGGAGAGGGAGAATGATTCTAACTGCTTACTTCTAATTAATCACAAGTGTTCACTAAAAAGTAAGGGATCCAAATCTAAACCCAAGTTTTTTAGCTTTAAGAATATTTTTTATTACTAAAGCTTTTACTTCATAACTTGATTTACTTGGTTATTGTGTAATATTTTCTGAGTAGGAAGAAGCATATTTGTTATTTTGATTGCTTTTGATGTTCATTTAGCTTTGTTTGGGGATTTATATAGCTTTGCTGTTTCTATCTGGGTACGCAAGGGTAGGCTTTTGGCTTCCCTTGTTCATCCTACTGATGATACTGGGCAAGTATTTTGACATCCTTTAGAAGCCAAATATTCTTTGTAATTGAAAATGCAGACTCCAAATTATTTGATCAACTTTTTGTGACTTGTTTTCATTAGATCATGTTTTTGCTGGCAAGATATGAGCACTTGACGTCCATTTTATTTTTTAAGCAATTTTCCTAGAGCCCATAATTTGTAAAAGCAGTTGAAAACATCACAAGGTTATCAAACACCCATTTTGTAGATTGCCGTATTACTTCATTTACACAAAACTTTTATAAAATGTAGTCAGCTGTTTTATACATTACAGTCATTCATTTCAGTTTTTATTTGTAATTTGGTTAGCTTGGACATTTTGGGGAGTTTTTCATGCTCGTCAGTGAAATAAGATAACCTCATTCAGTTATATTTCACAACATCAAATCAAATCTAGCTGGCTCCTAGAGAATAGGGGCATCCTTGGCTAATTGCTATGCCAAACCTGTGGTTGGTGGAAAAAGCCCTCATGGAGGGTAGAATTTAGAATCTATTCTAGCCTTTTCCTTGATGTAACAAAATATTGGAAAATAGAGAAGTGATGGAGAGAAACATTGGCCTGATGTCTGCATCGCTGGGATGGTTTGACACAGTGCACCTGAAATACTCTAATGGGAGAATTGCAGATGGGATCATCTTTAATAAGTGCAAAAACACACTTGTTTTTAAATACCATCATCAGTTTTTATCAGTTATAATTTGCTGAATCCTGAAAATTAGATCTTGAATAAACTAAAGGTACGTTCTCTGTCCCCCACAAAGAATAAGTATAAAATAATGCTTGAATAATCACTAAATAGTGTTATGTAATACTTTTTAACACCTCCTGCATCCAAGGCGTGGCGATTTGATATGTGTGAGGCATAAACCCTATCCTCAGTTTGCTTTGCAGTCTGCTTAGCAAGACAAATCATAGTTATAGATTTTTGTTATTTAGAGTTAGTTTTCTACGCCTGAGTTTTTCCCCCTTAGTCGTCTTTGGATGTTGAAAAAGAAGCCAAGCTGTTTAAAGTAGCCCTTTCGTCTCGGGGAACATCTAGCTCAATTGGCATGACACTACTTATAAAGA